GATGATGTTTGAAAATGAATGAAACTGGGCAGAGTGGGGGGGGGACTTCCTAACTAGTAATATATGGAAGGAAACCAACTATGGAAATTGTAATCCTTTTGCCATCAGTGGCATCTAGCATGAAGCAATAATCTATACCGGTATATTGTACCAAATGCCCAATGTCTCAGTTTTTGTATCTCAACTATAAAACAGAAATGTAATTTATTGCAGTTACAAGTACTGTGATGTGGTGGCTGCATTTGTTTTCTGATATCTTTTTTTCTTTTAAAGCTGGACTCCGGGCACAAAAACTTAAATATATTCAGTAGCCACAAAGGAATGTTTTTTAAATGAGGGTTTTTGTAGCTGGAGTTCAGCTTTAACTTTCTAAAATGGAGGCATTGAACAATAGCATAAAAGTTAATATTTTGGTGCTCTTTTTTTTTTTTTCCCCAAAGGACCCATGGTTCCTCCTGGTCACCCTTCATCCACCAATATGGTAGCTTCAGTCGGGGTTGCACCTGTGCCAGCTAGTGGGCCTCCACCTCCGCCGCCACCCGGTCCTCCACCACCAACAGGAGCTACGCCTCCACCTGCCCCTCCCCTGCCAGCCGGAGGAAGCCAAGGAGGGGTGGTGTACGAAGACAGTCCAGCATCCGGGCTGGCTGCAGCTCTGGCCGGTGCCAAACTGAGGAAAGTACAACGGGTGAGTATTTCCTTTTATCCTTCAGTTTAGTAACATCTTGTCCTCCAGTGCAGCTTCAGTAAGTCTGTTATGAACTCTGCAGTGGTGGCTTCCCAAAATGTTCCGCACCCATAGTCTTCTGGAATTTAGTAATCCGACTTGAGATCATATGACCAAATGATAACGTGGCTGGCTGCAGCAGGCGCCAGAAGCAGCATTTGTTGCAGAAAGAAGGCACTAATATCGGCCTTTTTTTTATCCTACCTTTTGCTATATACCTAGACAAAGTAATAAGATTGGGGTTGGTAATTTTGTTATACATCTGCTTCAGGGAAGAGGGTATTTTTCATATATTTAATTATAATGTATCATGTCAGTGCTAAAAATACAGATGGATATATAGAATATTGCATATAAAAATGTTGTACTTACTGTTTGCAGCCAGCAGGTGGCGAGCTGCATACAATGCCAGAATAGGAGAGATCAGATTACATAGGCTGCAGGATGACTAACAGGAAGGACACACCTCCTTCTATTCTTGCAGAGACTGGATCTGTCTGGCACAGTCTGCCAAAAAGCATGTTTTTTTTTTTAAACCCCTACTGCTTTACAGGCTAGGTGCAGGGTCGGATTTCCCACAAGGCCAACCGTGGCCCGACCTTGGGGCAGCAGGGAGTAGAGGGGCAGCAGAGGTGTGGAATTCCTATCTCCCGACCCCCGGGACATGCAGTTCTGGGCACCGGGCGGGTAGTTGTTTTCTACATTTATCCCTGCTTTGGGCAAGCAGAGCTAAATGTACAGCGGGGAAGCCACCGCTTTTTTTGTACAAGTGATCTAGGCGATGTCGCCGAGATCACTTGTATGCCGCCTGCATGCAGGTGGGGAGCGCATTAAGAAACCTGGCATTAGGGGCAGCAGGGAGAGTAAATCGGGCCCTGGCTAGGTGGTATGGGTGCATGCTGTAATAAATGTTTTTGTGTTATTAACAAAAAATAAAACCGCCATGTATAAGTTTATAAACCTAAAAAAATACAATACAGTTGGGAAAACCAATACTTTTCTGGATGGTTGTTATGAGTTATTGCTCTTATCTCATCACTGCCTTGTTGAATTACCTGGTGACATTAACTTAACATCCATCCTTTGTTTGTAAAGCCAGAAGATGTTTCAGGAAGTTCTAGTCCCTGCGCGGCTTCTAAAACTGATGCCAATCGAACAAGCAGTGGTGGAGGTGGAGGAGGTTTAATGGAGGAGATGAATAAACTGCTGGCGAAAAGGTGAGCCCAATACCAAGTTACACTTGTATACGTCTGAGTAACATTTTCTACTCCATAGTGCAGGGGTGGCCAAACTTTCACCTTACTACTACACCACCTCTTTCGGCACTTGCTTGCTGGGCTTAGAATTTACTCTGAGGCCCTGATATCTGATATACTGCAAAAGACTGGGGTGTAGTAGTGGGGGCTACTGATACCCGACCTCCCTCATTCCTGACAACGTCTGCTCATATCTCTGCTCCCTAGTATTGTGCTGACTATACTGACAGCACTCCTGCTACCTGTCCTTGATTTTAGACATATTTTATGTTAAAATCAATGACAGTGGGGAGGTTACCTGTGGGGGCCCCCAGCAAAATTTTGCTATGGGGCCCCGTGATCTGTAGTTACACCCCTGGTGGCTGTATTACACCCCTGGTGGCTGTATTAGATTTCTTTTTTTTAGATAAGATTGTAGAGATGAACTTTGGTATAAAGTAGTACCGTATTAAACTCACAAACGTGTTTTCAATAATAAATAAAGATCAAACAAATATACATCGCCCAGCAAAATATTTCTTTATATTTTTGCTAAAGCACTTACAGTCATCATGTTTCTGAGCAGCTCCAACTCTCTCAGTTCAGCTTCCCTGAACCACCTGTCCAGTACAAGATCACAGGGGACAGAGCAGTCTACAGCTGCCGTCCATCTACTAGTTTGGAGAAGGGAGGAAGGACCGGTGAGCAGGGAAGTATCTTAGCTTGCTGTGCTTTTGTGTTTGTGGAGACACACACAGCTTACTTGCACACACATGGGCGGCTCTATAGGACCCTGCAAGGGAAAGGAGTCACCCTAAAACAGGATATCAGGACCAGTGCTCAGGGGACCAGGTGATTCTGTAGTAAACATCAAAGTGCAGCATCTATTGCAAGTGATTTTGACTTTAATATCCCTGTAAGTTTTCTACAACCGTGCCTTGTGTTCTTATTGTAGAAGGAAAGCAGCTTCACAGTCAGAAAAACCCGGAGACAAAAAAGAAGAGGAATGCCAAAATGTGAGTGAATGTAGCCATTTGAGATGTTCATAAGATCTCGCTGTATAGTGTTACAAGTATATACAAGTGTATAGAGAACAAATACTAGTCAATGTGAGGAATCATGGGGGTCATAGCCAATCACATTTTAGTTTTGAGTTCACGCATCTGATTGGTGGCTCTGGGATCATTAATCATTTTTCTTTTGCTTGCTCTATTATTTGGGATGAGCAAACCCACAGGAGGTGGTATTTTGGGTAAACGTCACATAGCAAAGAGGTAATTAGCAGCTGTTATCCAAACACAATGGAAGCCTTCCCATAGGCGTCGCCATAGCCTCTGAAAGGACTATTTGCGTTTGCCCGCGGCATCTAGTCAAATTCTCCCTTTGTTTTTCCTATATTGCACTATAAATATAAATGGCAGCATTTGATTAGTTTCTGCGGGTACAAAAAAAATACAATTCAGCCATTTTTAGAAGGGGCCTGTTCACACGGATTTCTCTACACTGGAGCAAAAGGGAATACATTGTTACTCTTTGGAAACCAGTTCAGGCGTCACTGGGAAAAGGAAGCATGGAATCTGATTGGTTACTATACAGATGTTTTTTTCTGCACCTGAGTTATATCTCAGCCACAGTGATAAATTAATGTCTGAATGTTTTATCCAAAAATGAAGCACATTGTTCTGTGTTTTATAAGAGGTCTTTAGGATGGTACATACACATTGTTTATTTTATTCCCTTTCTGTGTGTTTAGGACGATGCCAGTCTTTCATCTTCTCCCAATACTCGAGGTCCCACACCTCAGAATTCTGCAGGTAGGATCAATTGCATTGATTACACACTGTCCTCATATCTATCAATCCATCTATCTGTATCTCTATCCTTCTATCTGTATATCTATCCATCTCTATCCCTAACCCTATCTCTATCCCTAACCCTATCCCTATCTTTAACCCTATCTCTATCCCTATCTTTAACCCTATCTCTATCCCTATCTTTAACCCTATCTCTATCTTTATCCCTATCTTTAACCCTGTCTCTATCTCTATCCCTATCTCTAACCCAATCTCTAACCCTATATCTATCCCTATCTCTAACCCAATCTCTATCCCTATCTCTATCTCTATCCCTATCTTTAACCCTGTCCCTTACTCTATCCCTAACTCTATCCCTATCTCTATCCCTATCTCTATCCCTATCCCTATCCCTATCTCTATCCCTATCTCTATCCCTATCCCTATCTCTATCCCTATCCCTATCTCTATCCCTATCCCTATCTCTATCCCTATCTCTATCCCTATCTCTATCTCTATCTCTATCCATATCCCTATCTCTATCCCTATCAATTCAATTAAGCTTTATTGGGGGGACCAAATAAATTTTAGCATTGACAAAGCAATTGATGAGTTATTATGGATGTGGGGTGGGGAGTAGAATAATTAACTCCTATGACATTCAATGTAAAGGATAATAGAAAAGCCATAGGTGAGCCTAATGACATTTTTAAGGGAAAGGGATAATATAATGGATGGATAGGGGTTGAGTCCAGGGGATTTAAGTCCATGGTTTCTCATGTCCCTCTCAGTCTGCGATTTGCTTTAACATATTGTGCAGCTATTTTTTACAGCTGGCTCCCCTTCTTCTATTAGAATGTGGAGTTTCCTCTTCTCTTCTATAGAAGCGAAGTCTAGGATTAGTTTGGATAGTCCCTGAAAGGGTCCCGGTGGCCTTGGGACCCCAACGCAGGAAGTGGGCCTGATACTCCAGCACCCTGTGGTCACACTGCTGGCAGAGTCTACTCTTTACTGGGCTTCCTGTGTGACCTGGATTCAATTTCCAGGCTGTCGGGCATATAGTTTGTATAGGCCCAGGGTCTGTCTAGCTTCTGGATCTTGTAGTATCTGCAGGTATGGGGCCTGCTTACAGTCTGTCTGTCTATCTATCTCACCTTCCCCTTCAGCCCAGTCCCACCCTGGCATCTTCAGCTTTGCATCTAGTAAATTACATTTTCACTTGAGGTTCTTTAGGATGTGACAGTGTCTGATGGGGTGTTCTGATAATTCTAGATTATGGTGTACTTGCAGACTTGGGGAAAAAGCCGTGGGAAAGGAGTAATTCAGTTGAAAAGCCCGTCCCCTCATTACTCTCCAGGTAAGTAGACGCCAAAGCCTGTACTTCTATTGCATGAACCAGATCTTGCAGTGCGCTATATTTATGTGCTATCTCATTCCATTGCCATAGAACCCCTCCAGTGGTGAAGAGCCCAGAAGCTAAGAGCCCCATACAATCTCAGCCACCCTCTAGGTACCAAACCAAAGCCGCGGCTCTTCGGCTGCGTCCGCTTGTTCTGTGCACAGTTTTGTGTGTCTGTGTTGTGCACTGTGTCCTTGTAGTTGTTGTCCCTGTGGTGTCATTACAGTGTTTTATTTTTACAGTATATGTTCTTGAGGCCTACATACAGTGGAGGGTCCAGTTATGTAGGGTAGACCGACATTGTGAGTGCATGACCCGTTCTTTATTAAAGCTGGAATCCCAAGCGGATGTAGAAGCACAAAGGATTGCAGCTTTGTGTTCATTAAAACCTCATTAAATGTATTTTCTTAATGTAAGCAGTTTAAGTACCTGAACTTGACTTAGATTCAGCCTCTTACAATCCCTCTACAGCAGAGATCACACTGGGAGAGATACCCAGGAAATGGCCAACCTATGAACCAGGTTTAGTCTAGAAGGTGAGAAGAGGTGGGTGGTGCAGCGGGTACTACTACATAAATGAGAGACCAAAACACAGATGGAGTTCCATGGGTGATCCAGGCAGGCATTTGTGGAGCCTTTGGAACTGACCCCCAATACTTGGGCAATACCGGTGAGTTAATTGGTGCTAATAATGTCATAAGAAATAACACGGGTAATGATAACAATGTTAATTGTCGGTTGGGATAGATAAGGCAGCCTCAGGGCGAGTAGCTGGACCTTGGAAGAGGTTTTGGATGCAGTGTGTATCCTTATGAGGCCCAAACAACACCCAAGTTAGGGGCCTATATCATAATCTGGCAATATTTAGTAACATTGTCATTAAAAAGTCATCCTTTCAAATCAGGTAACTTTGCCTAGGCTGAGATGATGTCATGACTGTGCTGCAGACAGGAGGAAGCATTTCCTCAATCACCTTTCCCCCAGTGATCAGACTGAAACATTGTAACCTTATAGCAAATCACAAGGTACTAGGCTGCTGTGTCCAACATTTGTTAGGCCTGGTTCACACCTGGGCATTTTACAGCGCGTTCCTATGCGCTGTAAAACGCTCAACATGTGAAAACCAATGATTGCCTATGGGCATGGTTCCCACCTGGGCGTTTTACAGCGCGTAGGAACGCGCTGCAAAACGCCCTATGCCCAAAGAAGTACAGGAGCTTCTTTGGGGCGTATTTGCCGCGCGTATCCATCGTGATACAGCCAGGTAGCCCTCTTAAACGCACGTCTGTTGCGCCTTATTTTACCGCGAATCGCTGTAAAAACGCGCGACAAACGTGCATATTCGATACGCCTAGGTGTGAACCCCGCCTTACAGAGCCAAAAACTGCACAGCCACCAGGATTTACATGATTGTGTCATCTCTGAGCCAGCATCGCAGTCCAGGAAGTAGATGGTCACCATCTACTGGATGATGTCTGAACAAAGATGGCTCCATCCCTCTGGAGAGAAAAGCAGATGAAGGCATTATTAGGGGGGGGAATACTGTGATCTCTGTGGGAGGTAATAAATACTGTAGCCTGAAGTGTTACATTAACACCTTACTTAGCATGCATGTACTTAACATGAAGGTCCATTATTGCAAAGGCAAATAGGACTGATGGGTATTGATGGAGACATAATGGGCCCCTTAACGGTCACCAGTGCTGCCTCTAGCAAGGTGCCAACTAAAACTAAATTCTTACCTGGTTTTATGGTTGGGCCAGTCCTGTCATGAGGCCTATGTCCACAGTTTTTAAAGTTCTGGAGATAACATAGTGCTAGAAGTCTCACTATGCTGTTCTGGGCCCATACTACTTTTATAATAAGGAGTGCAGTAGACAATATGGGACTAGTGCATACAACATGGCTGTTTCACGAATGCCTAGTGACTTGGCAGGCAGTGACCACCATTCTAGCTCAGAGAGTAGATACCTCCACTGTGTGTTGGCAAAGAATGCATTGTAATGATTTTGTTGTTGTGTACCGTGACCGTGTTGTTAAGTGGTGCAGGCGCCTCTGTGGCTATTGTAAAACACTGGAGGACATCGCGGCCTCTGTTTAAATGTCTGTGCTTGATACAATGAATTTAGAGCCCGTTTTGGCGATCAGTTGAGCTTTTAGCCATGATGCTTACGCTTGACTGTACTTCATCGCTTAACGGCAGCTGGCATGTGTTCACTTGGATGCTGAAGCAATATTAGTCTGACCCGGAATGGTAATCTGGCAAAGATGGTAGTTTCCAGAAGGGACACTGGCTGGACACCCGTACACAAGACGCCAAACCCGGACTGTCCGGTTGAAAACCGGACGGGTGGCAACCCTAGCTGATAGAACTGCGAATGTCTGTGGGCCTCTTTGAGCCCTATTACTGCTGGAACTTTTGATTACTTCTGGTGGCCAGGCCATTTCTGGGCAGGACAGAGGTACCGTTTACCAAGCCTCCCCCCGAACAATTTTGAACAAACAAAATTGATTTTGGAACATTTGTTCGACCGTTTTATCGTTGATTGGGGTCAAATTGGCGATCAATTTTTTCCGCAGTGACAAAAAAATTTGAAGGAGCACGTTGGAAATTTTTTCTTGATCAAACAAATTTCGAACTTCCAATGTGGTTTTCATTCGGAAACTCCAATAATTTCAAAATAGAATGTTAAGTAAAAACAAAAATTAAACAAAATTTCAATTGACAATCAGCAAGTTTCTGATGCCTGTATCAAATGTTCCAATGGGATTTTTCTCACGAATATTAATGCAAAAACCTACCCATGTATACTGTACTTGGGCATTACTAATATGTGAAGAGCCATTCATTGTTCTCACAAGGAGCCCTTTGCTGATTCCGTCTCCCTTTAGAGCAGCCAAAGTTCTTCCTATAGCCTTGATAACAACGGGCTGTGATCACCTCTCCATTCATTAAGTTCCAAAATCACTCTATGCCACATCATTGAGACACCTTTAAGCAATGCGCATTCCAGACTCCCGGATGATCTATGTTCACACAGTAGGGTTTCCTTCACTGAACATGCTGCCTGGACTGCAGTTGAACCATGGGAAAAACCACGTGTAACATTATCACCCAGGCGATGTGCTCTACGCCAGTGGTTCTCAACCTGTGTAACCTCAGGACCCACATTTGTCCTTGGTCATTATGGCACGACCCAAGTTGCACTGCAATCGAACTGTGGATGGGAGGTGCGTTTGGGATGCCATTCAAATAAATGGCAACGTAACACACCTCCTCAGCCTGGGGTTCAGTGGATCCTCAGCCTGGGGTTCAGTGTGGGCTGCTGCGCTGACGGAGCTTCATCCATATGTGCACTGCTTGTGCAGCTCTCTTGTGTGCCCTGTAGAGGAGCCGGGAGCCAGAATGTGACGTCACTCCAGTCCAGGCACCACTGCAGGACACGAGGGAGCTGTACATATGGATGGAGCTCCCTCGCGGCCATAGCCGCTTCACCTCAAGCTTACACTGGGTCCCAGGCAGCATATTTTGGTGTGAGAACTGACAGTGCTGTGCTAGGATGGGCTGGGGAGCCTCTCACCTAAAAAAAAGTGGAAGGCACGCTGTGACCCACTAAACATGGGGCCGCGACCCACCAGTTGAGAACCAAGGCTCTACGCCATCTAGTGATTCTCCCGCAATGGCCACTAAAGTTCCCAACTTGCAGACATATTTAATGAGTGCTACGGACAGTGCGTGCTATCTAGCTTCAACCCATGCTAGCATATTGCACACAAAATACACTAACATCAAGAATAAAGGAAGACACTGGTTACAACTACAAACTACAGTTTTCAAAAGAAAAGTTTCATGATTTGGGCCCAATATTTCTTCAGTACCTGTGTGTCCTACAAAATACAAGCTTTGTATGATATACAGACTCCAGAAGCACTTCTCAGCAGCAGTGAAAAGAAAATGACCCAAGTAGACTGGAAGATGTGATTGAATCCTAAGAGCAGTGATCCTGCCTTGTCACCAGTACTTGGCTGATATAGATGCAGAACATTTCAGTAGGACGGTGTCCTATTGAGTTCCATTGGCCCCCACTCTGCAAAAATGAACAGAACAACTAAATGAAGGAAAGTCTCAGACAGTCTTCTTAAGTGGTCATCTATACCTGCCCTTACAGATGCCAGAGACCTAAGGGTTCACAGGTGTCAACAGGCTTGGCATCACCTCCATGTTATATTATTATGCGGTGAAAGGATGCGATAGTGGAACTTGGCACCAGGGTGGTGGGTTTAACCCAAAAGTCAGAGATGTGAGCTTCTTGTAACAAGGTAAAACTAGGATCAGAGCAGAGTTCGGAAGACATTTTTCAGACCACCAGAAGTGATAGCGGCATCTTGTGGTGCCAGGAAATTTGTTATTGTAAATTATTTGAATGGCCAACAGGTTAACTTTAAAGGAACCTGTCGGAATATAAAAATGGGAGTCCCCTTTTCTCACTTGAGGCCCGTCATCTACATCCATACAGCAAGCTGTTATGATTTATATTGGCTAGAAAAACTTCTATGTGCAAAGAGAATGCGCTCCTCTCTGATGCTGGTTTCAGTTTGTTACTACTAAGGGCTCAACATTTTTAACTTTTGGCGTACTTCTGTGTACTGCATACCTCTTCCATCGCCTACTGCTCTGTATGTCCTGGCACAACCCCATGTTCCTATGTGCTTCCCCCATGAGCAGTGATATGGCAATAACTGGTCTACAAATATGGCCAACTTCTAGAAGAATGGTCCCCATGTAGGTTTCATGGGCATGGAGCTAAAGACGTTTTAAAGCCTGTGGTGGTAAGTCAGCGCAAGGCCGACTTGTCTCAGAATATGACCTCATCTTCCTGAGGACATCACTCCTCCTTCCAGGACATGAGCAAAGGTTATCAAGGTTCAGAGGTTCTGGTTTTTGCTGGGTTCAGTGTGGCTGGTGGTGGTGATTTTTTTTCTCTTATTCTTTTAAATATTTTTACCATTGTTCCATTTTTAAGCAGGATGAAGCCTGTAAACAGCAGCAACGACGTATCATCGGACGCCTTAGACTTTGACAGAATGAAACAAGTGAGTCTGTTTATCTTTCTTAATGTGTTTGTCCTGGTGGGTGTTAGATCTACAATACCATGCGGGCGAGAGTTGTTTAATTCCTGTTTGTCAATCCTATTGGCAAGTACCTCTTCTCACAATTCTGACCCTTGCTAGCTATTCAGGGGCAGCAGTGCAGGGATGTAGATTCCACTGCCTCATTCGTATGTTTGCCATAAGGGCCATGTCACACCGATGATCCTGTCCCTGGCATTAGGATTGCTAAAGAGGACTACTCACATTCTCTTGCAGCATCACTTCCTCACTGGCTAAAATGTTTGCCAGCAAGGAAGAAGTGACAAAGAGACTATTTGCTGGTGAGCAAACAATGCTGTCGGAGCAGTTGAGTGTCCTTGCTGCACTTAGCACACACTGACACTCGGTATTTGAGCAATTGGCACAGAATCTTCAGTAGGAGAGACACCAGACTTGCTCCTGAGGTCCACTTTATTCCAGGCAACTCCAGCAGCCATCAGCTTCCCTGGTGGTCCTCCTCCTCAACCAGTAGCAGAGGCCTTCACCAGACTTGAGGCTTACAGGGTTATTCACAAAAAGGTGAAGTGTTTGGAGAAGGCAGGAGAAGTGAACAATCTAGCACAACATAGCTGAACTGGAAACATTCTCCAATTCAGCTCACTTTCCAGTTGGGCTATGTTGTCCTAGATTGTTCACTTCTCCTGCCTTCTCCAAACGCTTCACCCTTTTGTGAATAACCCGGTTAGTCAAGCACTTCCCGCACTTGAGCATTCCCAGGCCCAGACCTGGGGGCAGGCTGGACAACACTCAACCCTGACTGGACTCTGGGCTATCCCAGAACTAGACTGAGCACATGGCAATTCCTCTGAGTATATATGCCCTGTCCCAGCATGCAGAGTCGTACGTCCCTCAGGCAGGTACAATCAATGCCAGAACACCTGGAATTAACCAGATAAATGCCAACTATAATTCAACCAGACTGACTACAGCTCTGGCAATCACTTCATTTCGAGTAGCCACTCCATTAAAAGGTGGTAGGGGCTACAATACATACAATGTCTATTTCATTTTTATACACTTAAAGTAAAAAAAAAATATTGTAATCTTTCATTTATCAGAAGAAAGATTTACTGTCTGTGATGCCCTAAGCAAGCAGGTGCCAGTTGTCCATTCTTCTAGGGCAGGTTGAACAATGAAAGGAAACCTTGTGGATTCCTTCTCGCGCTGTAATGAGGTCTGTGTCTGGTGGAAGCGCCCCTTTCCTTTTGACTAACAATATTCTTATTCCTCAGGAAATACTAGAGGAAGTCGTTAGAGAGTTACATAAAGTCAAAGAAGAGATAATTGATGGTAAGTCGGCGCTCCCGGATTGTCTATTTTTTACCGTTTCTCTATTTTGAAGTAGGAAAATGATACATGATCATTGACTGATGGAAGGAACGTTTAGGAAATCATGTCTGAGCTGTGACAGGCTAAACAACCACTCATTCAATAAAGAAGAGGTGGATGGAGAATAGGAACATGTGACATGAAGAGTTCTAATTCCTGAACATGTGAGCGAAAAAAAATCAGGAGATTGATATTTGTCATGTTAGCAAAATGCATTGAAGTCAATGGGGGGGAAGGCAAATTCAAGTGCATGTCAAGCCAAAAACTTCTTCCTCTAGTATTGGACAGAGTGGAGAAGGATTAGAACTCCTTTTCGGGTTTTTATGGGTCTGTTAGGCCCCATCCACACCAGGGCGTTTCGTCACGTGGTTTTTTCCATGCTAAAACACATGCAAATCAAAATCCCATGTATTCCTATGGAGGGCGTTCATGCAAACGCGCTGAATCATGCGTAACAATATGCCCGTTGTTTAAAATAGTCCATGAGCTTCTTTTGCGACACTTATTAGACTGTTTTGCTCCATAGACTTCAATGGAAACACGCCTAACAGGGCGTTTTTGCACATTTTGGGGCAAAAAAACAAGCCTAAGAGCTAGCTCACACCAGCCCCAGTGTGTTCTGGTCCAATTGAGTGCATCCGGGCCAGCTCACTGCGTTCTGGAGCAAAATGCCGAAAGTACCATAACAGCCGAAAATTCAGTGGATCCCAAACTTCTCTCCTCCCCACTGGACCGCCGGTCTGTGTCCCCTCCAATGCCCACTGCTGTCCCCCCACCTGTGGCAGCAGAGACAGCGGGGATAGAGAAACGTGCGTGGTGGGGAGGAGAGAAGCCGAGATACTGTTCAAAGCAGGGGTGGAGTCAGCTGTCACAGAAGGTGCGGGAGATCTCCTCCAGTACCGCCCGCTCAGTCTCCTGTGACAGCTGTCAGGATGGAGAGCAGGTTACAAGGGGTTAGTGATCAGGGCTGATCGCTAAGTGTTTGTAAATAACTGAGGACATAGTATACTTACTGTAGCCCCAATTTTGAAGGAGCAGGAAGTGCTCTACATCACTTCACTCAGGAACACCGTTATTGTGATACTAACCCCTCAGTTTATGAATGGACAGGAGCACTCAGTATAGAGGCTTCCTGTTCATTCATAACAGGGGCTGCAGAAAAAGATTTAGGACTCTGCGTCCTCAATCTATTTTTTCTAAGTTTTTTTTCTGTTTAGATATTTCACCGATGCCCCCAAAAGTAAAGTACAAATAAATAACAAAAATAAAAACAAATCACTTCTACTGTCGTGGTAACCAACCTGCTTCCCTATTTATAATGGTCTGGCCCTCTAGCAACTTCAGCGCCAAATTATAGCTAATCTACCTACAAACGTCAGGTGGCCATAATAATCTGGCCACTCAGTGTATGTGTATATATATATATATAATGTATACACACCAGTATATAATTTATTAATACATTTAATGAATTTTAAAAAAAACTCCCGATTTATCCCAGGGTCACACCAAATACATGAACGCGCTTAGGGTGACAGTAGTCTGCGTAAGCAAACGCAATGCCATTGAGAATTTTAACACACCTTAAAACACATTTTTAAAAGACAGCCATGACTGTTTTTAATGCAGCATACCGCAGCACACAGCATGTGCATTGTAGCATGCTGGAGTGTACCAACACACTTCATGAGCTGCATGCTTGTTCCAGATGGGGGACTCAAAAAGTGTTGGGGTGTCATTCAATATGAGTGGCACCGCAACGCAAAAACAGGTTACCGGGTGGTGTGGTAACTCATGGTAAGACAAGTTTTTTTGCATTAGCACGATGCGAATTTAAGAAATGGGTCTCTAGGCTTGTTGGGGCCCCCTCTATTCACCGCTGCTCTATAGAGTTCCTCTACGCTCCTCCCCCTCCAGCTACATAAAAAAGGTTTGGAGCTAGGCCAGCATAGACCGCAATTAGACACTTCCCGAAGCAAAGAGGGCTATGGTGTGAAGGGAGGGAGGAGCCTGTGCTAGGAAATTTGCACGCATGTTTAAAGGCGTATTGCTATTTTTTTAAAAATATAGAAAGGAAAAATTCATCAAATAAGCTTTTTAAAAAAAACAAAATAAGATTTTTTTTTTCCTGTGCATTTACCTGCAATTTTTTTTGAGGTTGGTGACAGGTTCTCTTTTGTTTCCCTTTCAGCGATAAGGCAGGAGCTGAGCAGGATCAGTACAACATAATGATGGAAGAGAACTCTGCGTTCTGGGAATGTACAGAAGAGTCCGAGAGCGTCCGCGGAGCTGAGTGTTGGAACGATCATTAACAGAAGGACAGCACTTCCACTCTGACCCCCTTCTCCTTAGCAGACACACTTTGAAGCTTGCCGCCTTGGATTTGCTTATAAGTCTTACCATGAAAGGAAAACAAAATTCAAAACATTTTACATTTGATTTTTCTTTTTTTTTACATTTTTAGACTTCATCTGACATTGCACACAAAAGATTCGTCAGCCTTTTTTTTTTGTATGATATATTTGCTTATTTAAATGTATTATTTTCCATTTGGTAGTGATCTAAAGAAGAAAAAAAGTGAGCCATTTGCTTTTTATTAGGATGACTTCTTCAAAAGTACTTTTTTTCTGGTAGCCTGAAGTGTT